CACTTCGTCCCACTTTATTCAACCCACTTCTGATCGCTCATCTTTCAACCGATAGGCATTCACAGGTTTCTCCATCGCCAACCTCCCTAACAGGCCAATGTATGGGGCAGATTTTGGGTACCCGCTCTTATGCGACTAGCGGGGGCGACGGTGATCCTGAGGAACATGGTCCCGAGGATATGAACACGATGTGATTGCGACGGCCACCGTAGCAGAAGGCTCCGGAAATTTTGACCACACCAAGGGTTATTAAACGCGTCCCCAAATTAGGTGCACGGGCCTCTATAGCATGTCGCCTCCGTGGCAAGCGGCGGCCGCGGCCGGGATTGGATGCACCCCGCCACCTTCGTTTCAGCAATCGAGAGGCATAACCAGCGACTCGGAATCGCAGCATTGGTCGCGGAGGCGTATCGATCTATAAACAATATGAAGGATAGAGAAAAAAAAATGAATTCGTGTGTTCGTTTATTACTTATCTGGCGAAATTCTTTTAATTTTAACCATTGCTTTTCAACCTGGCCCGACGAGGCTTTTCTTTTTTTTTTTCGCAAGGCTATACACGCATTCCACATCGACTTGCTCCCAACTCTTACCCCCGTATTCACAAACGCTCCTCGACTCGACTTTCACCATTCACTTGACAGAGCTGCGCACTGCACCGCTTCTCGGATGAAAATGACGCTGCGCTACTCAAGAATATCAGCAAATTATACTGATATGCAGTGATTTTTTCTGCTTAGAGATAGCGCTTTCATCGGCTTTCTCAAGTGAAGGTGGAACGTTGAGTGAAGGGGCGTTCTAGCATACGGGAGTAAAAGTCTCGCCACCACTTATGCGTACAGGCGACACGTACACGGGAAATATCGAAGGCGCCAGCGCGATTCACTTGGGCAACGCGCGGCGCGACTGACGCATGCACTCCAGCAGCTTTGTGTATCTTGGAAAGTGGCGGCGTTTGTTTTACCGCTTGCCGGTGCTGCGAGTAATTCATTTACCTGCGTGCTGCCGCCTGCTTTGTCGCGTGTATAGCGCCACTCACTTCTGCAAACGAGATTAGAGATAAGCCCGTATGAAGTCGCCGCCGGTACTGGCATATGCTACTGCAAATGGATACACGTTTACATATAGGTCTACATATGCAGGGTGCTTGACGTGTACATATAGGTCTACATATGCAAGGTGCTCAAGACAAACTTATCACCCAGAGCCCTCACGGCACTGCTTGATTTCCTTGTTTCCGATGACGTCAAGCACGCAAGCTCGATATATCGCTAGCAACAGCTTTTCAATCACACAGTGTAAGCCTCAAAAAAATGATAAGGCTTGAATATTTTATAATTGGGATTGACGCCCAAAAGCAGATGAGTCGCTTCCAATAAATCGATATACCTGGCGCTGATGCGAAATTTTTGGATCCGTTGCCTGGATATTCTGGTGATTGAGATTGCTAGGCTATGTAAATGAGGCTTTGATAATAAGACAAAGGTGATCGTGTTGGTTGTGATGTTGCTGCAGGAAGGCTTAGCCTGGTCCTCACATTACCAGCGATGGTTGTGCTTCGGCGTCTCTTGAATCGCATGTGGCTTCACCTCTTTCAAGTCTGTAACGGACTTCAACAATGACCCTCACTCACTCCCTCACTCATTCGCTCGAGCACGTGTTAAAAAGTTTAACCTAATTGATTGATATGTGGGGTTTAACGTCCCAAAACCACTATATGATTATGAGAGACGCCGTAGAGGAGGGCTCCGAACATTTAGACCACCTGGGGTTCTTTAACGTGCACCCGAATCTGAGCACACGGGCCTACAACATTTCCGCCTCCATCGGAAATGCAGCCGCCGCAGCCGGGATTCGAACCCGCGCCCTGCGGGTCAGCAGCCGAGTACCTTAGCCACTAGACCACCGCGGCGGGGAAACAGTTTAACCTAGTGCCTCGCAGGATGGGACACAGTCATACGCCCTGTAGGAATCATTATAATGCAACACTAAAGTAAGACAATGATCGGCTTGGACTGGTAAACTGCACTCTCAGAACTCAAACGTCGTTAGAAAATCACGAAAAATGTTTCGTTTTTAGATGCCGGCGCACCAAAATTTTGGCAACATTGTAATGTGCACGACCAAAATTCTTGAAACTATGTCTAAGGCCTTTTCGGAGGGCAATGCACTTCACTTTTGCCGATTAGGAACTACGCGTGACCTATACTAGACACCATCAAAATCTATGACGTCATGGCGTTTGGTACGGGAACTTGAAGGTGGCGTCGGCACCTGCATGTTCTTTTCATGCGTTTCCTCGCCTATACCAAGCGCCTTCTTGCAGCAAGAGTGGTATTTTCAGCATCGGTAAATTGTGATTTTTGCAATACGCGAAAAATCACTTCTCTCTTTAATGTCCATTTAACACATTGCAAGTAGCCTTCACGCGGCCGACTGGGTATTTGATTAATCGAGCTTAAGAGACGGAGGGACAATTACCGCTATATATTCTCAACACATCGGGGAAATCCATGAGATTCCAGGTGTTACACGGAAGGAACGAGGAGAGTGATAGCGGCCGGTCATCGACACCACCGCCAGCTATTTCCGTCAGTCCGAGCCACGGCCATAAACAATCACCCGTAACACACTCGTCATCGCTCACAATAACCATTTCGTGAGCGAAGAGAGCTTTGCCGAGTTACCACTAACAGCCAGTTCGTCGTGCGGAGTGTTTCGCGCACTTCTGCGACGGACGCATCGATGGAAGCAGTCGTGCAAGGCAAAATACACCACTCAACATCGCTCACGCCTTCGAAACAGTGCACACGAAATCCCCCCAGGACAGACGCGTCTTAAATCAAGTGGCCTCTACAGCTGTATCGTGAATGTCAAGGCGCAGGCGGTATAGTGGCAGTCATATACGTCACTGCAAGCGCTAAAACCCGAAAGGACACAAGAAAAAAAGTAAAGCAGCAGTCTTCAACACCACTCGATAAATAACGTTCCCACTTCCACTCGGGAAATTGTGGCCAGTAACTTGGTCGATATATCACGGACGGCTTAGAATCAAGCTCATAGCACCCGGGCAAACTCCGGATCAACTGCGTTAATCCGCTTTGACGTACCGCGCTGTGCGCACAAGCCCAAACGCGAGTAGATAAAATGAGTGAAACGTGAAAATATTTGACAAGCGTGGACGGTTGGTCTGAACGGTGCTGTTGGTGCATGAGTCGCAGTGCGGGCTTGAGAGTATAGCCCTTGCGTTTAACAATGTAGACCATGATCATTAATGTGCCGCCGTCATCCGAGTTCAACTATTACACGGCAAGGAATCGCAATGCGCTTCCGGTACGCTTTCGTACCAAGGCACGCGTGCTAAGCTCTAAACGTACAAAAAAATGCTTACGTAACAGCACTAATGTATCGAAAAAATATCCACGCAAATCAAACTTAGAAATTCATGTGTTGGTATGATCAGCTCTAGAAGAGGTGAAGCTATCCCGCACGCAATTACAGGTACATAACCGCTTTCCGTCTTAGAGCAACAGCACACCCTCCTCGACTAAAACAAGCAATTAAAAACTTGCGTCAACCCAACAGCAGCAAACAAGTCAAATTCGAAGCTGCGCACGTCTAGAACACGGATTTTCTTACGTAACGATCACAGCCTTAAACAAACTTCTATGGTATTAGCACTTCCCACATGACGCGACGTCCAGTCGCCTACATAACTTCAAGCTAAAAACTACAGGAGACAGCCACAACCATTGTTCGCAAATAGAGCAGCGGGAAGCACAGCTGTGCACGGTATCGATCCCCCGTCGTGGAACCACGGTGCCATTTAAGCTTGCTGGTTAGAGGTGCCACGTTAGAGTTCTTTCTGGAAAGATTGCGCAACGCCCCGCAAGGTCACCGAGCAAAAGGATAAGAAGCGAAACCGCTGTAGTGGGTACGTTACGTATACATCGAAAGAGACTAACACATTCCGATTGCTCCAAGTATGAACGGATCGCACATCACAGGTCATATGCGACCTTATAAGCGGTAGTGGAAGGAACTGCTCAAAGTTGGTTGAGCTCCCTTCCGAAGAGTATAAGGAAACGAACAAGCAAATGTTACCGCACAGCGCTCCTCTTACTTTCGTCTAAAGCATCCAAGAGCGTATTAGATCGAAGACCGTGTAAGAACGCAAGGCTAGTCGTGTGTACAGTACATCAGATTTTACACTGCGAAGCAAACTCAAGTTTGTGTGAACCTTCGGGCTGAGGATAGAAACGTCAACCGAAAAGTGGCAAGTTACGGCGGTTTTGTAGGAGTAGTTTCGTCGGTATGGGGGGCGGTTACCGTAGCCCGTCAGGCCGCAGAGAGTGTGAATATAACTACGATGGCTTTTAGCTAGTGACCACTATTTACTAAACTATTTATGAACCATATACTCATCCACATGAACAGGCTATAACAGTTCGATCAGTTGTTCAGGCTACACGAGTTCGTCTGTACTTTCGTCTTTGAACACTGTGTCAACCATGTGGTATCATCAATTAAGTTCAGGATTTGTCGCGTCGACCAAACCACACAAGCCGTGAACGAATGTCATTCACGGACTTTTCCGTCATCCGAGACAACAAGCATTTCGGAACAATTCAAACGACGCGAGTTCGACGAGTACAGAAACATCACGATGCCTTTTAAAAATTTACAGTACACAGAGATCGCCTGTGAAGCAGGAGGCTGCGCCTGAAGGAAGCGAGTGTTCCGGTATACATTTACACAGGGCATCCGTTGTCCTTTTCGTCACCAAGACGGGAACTCGCGAGAGAAAGTGCGTATACGTCGCGACCGGGGACGTCCGTCTAGTTGTCGCGCAGCGGACAGCTGCCGGCAACCGCGGTGTCTATTCGCGGCAACGCGCGATGCGACACTCGCGAAGTCGTTGATAGCGGGAGTAGACCCGGAAATGAAGAACAAAAAACGCGATGACACATTACCGGTGCAAGAAAGAACAATTCACTGACCGTGTTTGCAAGCATCCGACGACTACGGAGGGCTGCTCCTCTTTCCGGAGCGCCGCAACTGGACCGCCGTAAATCCAGGCAGCAGAAAGTAGTGAAGTCGCGGAAGGGAGTGGAAGCGAGAAAACAGCGAAGTTTTGTTCCACTTTTCTTCTTTCCTTTAGCAAAGTTCGCACTTATCGCGCACCAGCATCCCGACGAAGGGCGACCACGACACTCCTTCGCGTTCTAGCACGCGCACGTCTTCTTCGGAGCGACGGTTTTGCGCTGTCTGTGGAAGGGTCCGCGCCGCCGCTACTCGCGCAGCCCGGCGACGACCGCTCACGCGCCAAAGCCCGCACGCACGCACGCACAACTCACACACACGCACACACGCCAAGCTGCGTCGCCCAGCAGGCACCGCCAGCGGCAAACGTCGTGGCGTTGAGGAGTGCCGCGCGCTTGGCAGCGCTGGCTGGCGCTCCCGGAGGACAAAAGGAGGAGAGTGGTTGTCTCTTCCCTCTTTCGTTCTCTCTCTCTTGCGCATCGCGTGGAGCCGAAACCCTGGAACTGCGCACTGCCGGGTGGACGCGCCGCTCAGTGGTAGAAGCGGGAATTTGCCTCGGGGGCACGAACACCTGCTTCGCATCCGAAGCTGTCGTGATCGCTGTCCTTATACGCCTGCAAAAACCTTGAAACGCGTCGGCACGGCTGGAACAATAACCGGGGCTCTATTCTTTGCACGGCTGCTGCCCCACTTTTCAACGCAGTACTGTATGCATTCGAAAAGTGCGCTAGCTGTTGCGATCATTTCCAGTCCAAAGTGTTGGTTGCCAGCACTGGGCTCACGAAACAGTTTAAAATGTTATATGGTTATCCGACTCCCTTTTTGTGTGGGACAAAGACGGCACCACTTAGCCTGCCACATCTACATGTGACACTCCCCCCTCCCCTCCACAATTTTTTATTTTGTATGTGTATATACACACATTTAAACTAACGCATGCACGAACATACATGAAATTTGGTGAAACCCACCAGTCGAAAAGAATTTCTGGCTACTCTACTGGTAGCCATCGAGCATGGGCGTCATTGTAACACTAGGAGGCTTCCCTTGTTTTTGCCTGTACTTAGGAAACAGAGTGAAAATACAACGCATTAGTTACCCCGCTTTCCTGCCCCCTGAAGGAACTCACTTGTTGCAAGTGCCCCCTCCCAGTAAGAAAACCCTGGTACCTACTCAGTGTGTATTACGCGAAAGAGATGCGCAGGAGTCCGTCACAAATGCCTCTTGAATTCCCGTAACTCAATAAAGACTGCTTCATTATGTAAACGAGATTGACAGGAACCCGAATAAGGCCGGGGAGGGGGGGGGAGCTAGAGCTGAGCATTCTACCCCCCCTCCCTGTCCGGCTACACCACTGCCCGAGTGTTATGTTTCAGTGGCGTAGCGAAAGGGTGGCACAGCGAATACATGCCCCCCTCCCCCCCACCCCCTGAAGTCAAGGAGGTGCGACCCTACCCGAAAGAAATTTCTGCCTTCTTTCTTCATCATTCCGCTCCTCTCATTGCGCTCTGAAAGAAGTTTGACGAAACGAAACGATGGCTTGATATTGATGATCCCCTTACCTTTTCAGGGGCCCTACCTGGAGCGTGGTTGTTAATGTCTTCACCAGGAAATCACGACAGATGACATAAAAAAGACAGACCATTCTTTAGTAAAACAAATAAACGCATAAACCACTGCAAATAATACGGTGAAATACTGAAGTGAGACTAGCGTAATGATTTCACTATATTTTGATAATAATTATGTTATAAGGACAGCAACGCAAGTGTAATTGATAGATATATGCATATGTCTGGTTTAACGTCCCAAAACCACCATATGATTATGAGATTATGAGAGACGCCGTAGTGGAGGGCTCCGGCAATTTCGACCACCTGGGGTTCTTTAACGTGCACACAAATCTGAGCACATGGGCCTACAACATTTCCGCCTCCATCGTAAATGCAGCCGCCGCAGCCGTGATTCGATCCCGTGACCTGCGGGTCAGCAGCCGAGTACCTAGCCACTAGACCACCGCGGCGGGGCCAAGTGTAAGTGATAACATTAAAGTAATCCTCGATAATGTTACCATTTTCAAACGATTCGTAGCAAGTGCAGGGGGTTACTCCTCCTGTAAAGTATACTGCTTTAGTGTTGACTCGGGAAGATGCCCTAATACGTCGTTATAACATACTGGAATACGACTCATCACTGTGTGTTTTACAAGGTTACATCTATAATTCCTAGTGAACCATGACTGCGTAATGCAACCTTTCATCTTCGATGAATTAGCATACAGCTTGATGTGCCAATCTACTACCCTACTACTTACTTTTATGCGGATTCTGCCTCACCAAAATGCAGACGTAAGGAAAAAAAAAAGAAAAATCTTGGTGAATTCACTCCCTACCACTCACCTATCAATATAACTCTCTCGAACACATTAAGTTGACTTCACATTCGCCCTTTGTCTTGGTGATAGATCGGGATAAACCCTGCGGTTGTTGCGCATCTCACTCCTGACTACATGGCAAAACTCGAGGCAGACCGAAACTCACTCTTTAATGGCACAAGTACCCCTCACCCACATGCAGGTTATGCAACACTAATATAGCTACACTTTATCCTATGGCTTGGGATTGCCAGAGCAATACATCCAAAACAGACATGTCTGAGGATTTCAGTTGAGAATGGTGGGACGCGGCACTGTCCAGCACGGACCAGGGACTCCACCTATTAATCAATACTTTAAAATAAGTTTTTCATATATTCCACACTCAGCACTACATACAAGGCAAGGACGGTTCTCCCGCCTGCGAGGCCTGTGGTGGCTTCCCGGAGAGCGCTCACGTTCTGTGGGAATGTCCAGGTGGTCGTGCAGCCAGGGGCGAGAGCCTCAAGCACGTATATACCTATAAACCTAAGACCTGCTACGCTGGAGAAGTGAACTCTTCTCCAGACATTATGAATGCACTACTCGAACATTTGAAAATTCTAAGCCCGTCTGACGGCTAGGCCTCGCTTTTTTTTTTTTTATTAGTGGATCCGGAACGGCTGGGGTATGTTTAGTTTGTGTTCTCTGTCTTTCGATTGTTTGATTGATTGATTGATATGAGGGATTTAACGCCCTAGAGAGAGTGAGAGAGGGGAAATAAAATGAGGGAAAGGCAGGGAGGTTAACCAGAAAATGGAGCATTTGGTTTGCTACCCTGCACTATGGGGAAGGGGGAATGGGGAAGAAATATGGGAAAGAAAGCGAAGAGGGAAATAGACGCGCGCAAAAAAAAAAAAAGGAGGGGGGGAGGGAGTGCTATAGTCTATAAAATCGCCATATGATTATGAGGGACACTGTAGTGGAGGGCGCCGGAAATTTCGACCACCTGGGGTTCTTCAACGTGCACCCGAGTCTGAGCACACGGGCCCACATCATTTTCGCCTCCATCGAAAATGCAGCCACCGCAGCCGGAATTTGATCCCGCCTCCTGCGGGTCAGCAGCCGAGCACCTTAGCCACCATCGACCACCGCGGCGGGACGTTCTCTCTCTCTCTCTCTCTCGTGGTCTAGATTATCCTCCTTGTAGAACGCTAACCGCGTTGTCACGCTTCTGGATGGCTTGTGCTTTAAGAGTGACACGTTCTGAGAACTGCCTAATTAAAGTGTATGTGTGTGTTTAGTTACCATCTTCCGCGGAACGTGGTTCTATTCCGCGGAACGCGGAATAAAATTTTCTTGGTTAGCGCGAGGTGAAGTTCACAAGCCTTCACCGTAGAAAATATGATACCTACATCTTTTTTCTTTTCCCAGTAATATTTTGTAATAATTTGGCCTCTTGGAAAAGCACCACTGCAACGTGGCCGCCGGTCTCTTGGCACGGTTTTACTCCCTAGCGTTCTTTATTGCATTCTTGATTGCTACATCGAGCATATTGACTGCCAAGACTAAAGCCATGATGCTCTCAAAACATTCCCTTTTGTTGTGGTTTCACGCCGTTGACTTGGGACGCTAGTAAGCAGGGGCATAGCCAGGGGAGAGGGTGGGGGGGGGGGTTCAGCTTCTACTTTTCTCTCCTAGACATTTCAATTTTGCTTGCGTATATCTACACGCACACATCCAAACGCACGCACGAACACACAATATTGACCCCCCCCCCTTTCCAGAAAATATGTTAGGCTTAGCGGCTGGTACCATTGTCTCTGATGTAATGCCCAATGACAGCGGCTAATGGTAGGTGCTGAACGGATATTATGCAGCGATCCCGGACCACCTTTCATTATTCTATTCTTCGCGGTATCTTTTCGCTTTGTCGTCAAGGCCGCTGTGACAACTTCGTTGCTTTGATATCTGCAGTAGTTGGATACACTCATCTGGGCTTACAAGCATGGTTGATGTCCATAAAGTATAAATTGCGTTAGCACGATGCTTGGGCGAGGTAAACAAACTCAGCTTCTGGCAGAAAAAAATACTTCACCGAAAGTGAAAATCAAATTTTGCGCGTGTTGACAGAAACTTTGGAGGTGCTGACCTCTGCGGGCAAGTTTTAAAAACATAAAGCGCATCGCGCGCCGCGCTGCGTAAGTTGGCGAAAGCACACCGAAGTGTATTGCCATGCGATCAGCGAGTAGGAAATCCTAGCTGGGCTGGTCGCAAGTTCGCCGTCGCAAGTTCACATTCGAATAGCCAGCCACGTTATTTTTACTTAGAATGGCTTACTTAAGTTATTGTGAATCATAGGGCGCATCGTCGGGCGGGAAGCTTCGGCGAGCAAATCCCGAGTTTCGAAGCGACCGCTAGTGCCGGTGTGACCGCGCGATTCACGTCCTCACGCCGACCTTGGTTTCCCCTGTCGGATCACTCAAAAGTTCATCGACATGGCTTCGATGCGCACCGTCATCAAAGGTGTCAGCTTCAAGCTGAACCTGCAAGCTCTGAAATCTGGACGCCGATCGCTGTGCACAACGCGTGCTTTAGGTGCACAACTCACCGTCCGGGATGCCCTCAACTCGGCCATGGACGAAGAGATGGAGCGAGACGAGCGGGTTTTCCTGATCGGCGAAGAAGTCGCCCAGTACGACGGTGCATACAAGGTGAGCCGAGGCCTGTGGAAGAAGTACGGCGACAAACGCGTTATCGACACGCCCATCACTGAGATGGGTTTCGCCGGAATCGCGGTGGGCGCCGCATTCGCCGGCCTCAGGCCCATCTGCGAGTTCATGACGTTCAATTTCGCCATGCAAGCCATCGATCAGGTGATCAACTCGGCCGGCAAGACGTTCTACATGTCGGCCGGCCACATCGCGGCTCCAATCGTGTTCAGAGGACCCAACGGAAACGCGGCCGGAGTAGCCGCCCAGCACTCGCAGTGTTACGCGGCCTGGTACGGCCACTGCCCGGGCCTCAAAGTCATCTCGCCGTACAGCGCCGAGGATTGCAAGGGTCTTCTCAAGTCCGCCATCCGAGATCCCGACCCAGTCGTGTTCCTCGAGAACGAGCTCATGTACGGACACGCGTTCGAAGTGTCCGACGAGGTGAAGAGTAAGGACTTTCTGGTGCCCATCGGCAAAGCCAAGATCGAGAGGCCCGGTCAGCACGTCACTCTAGTGTCGCACTCCAAGGCTGTAGGCGTGTGTCTGGACGCCGCCAAGCAGCTCGCCACTCAGGGAGTCGAATGCGAGGTGCTCAACCTTCGTAGCATCCGGCCCTTAGACGCAGAGGCTATCCAGGCGTCCGTCATGAAGACCAACCGGCTCATCACGGTCGAGAACGGTTGGCCTCACTTCGGAGTCGGGGCCGAGATCTGCGCCAGCATCATCGAAAGTCCCGCGTTCGACTACCTCGACGCCCCCGTGATTCGCGTGACGGGAGCTGACGTACCGATGCCCTACGCCGCCACTCTCGAGAACGAAGCAGTGCCAACGGAAGCTCACGTGGTGCTGGCCGTCAAGAAGTTGCTGAATATACAGTAAACATGACTGCGAAGGTAGAGATCTCACACCATGTCCGGGCAGAGAATTTTGTACTTGTTTCTTGCACTTCGTTAATGCAGCCATTGTCTTCTTTTTGTTAGCTAGGTCTGATCTACAAGTAAGGCTTCAGAGCAAGGTGTAGCCACCTAATCAGCAGCTTGTAGAATGGCGTGTGTGTTTAACTACCAGGGCCTTACTGTCCTGACGTCTGGTGTGGACTGTGCTGTGAGTGGCCCTTGCTACCTTTGTTGCAGGTACGAGGTGTGCGATTGTATAGTCTGATCTGTTGCGTCGAATGCTGTGATGTCCGAGAGATTTTCATGGTTTTCAGTCGCATGCATTTTGCCATTCACAAACATGCGCACAATGAGTGGCGTTGCCGAGAAAACGAATGAAACAGAAATACTTGGTAAGCACTTAGGTCAAAATAAGCTCAGGAGATCAATCTTTCTGTTGGCACTCCATGTACCATCTTAAAATTTATAAGTCCAAACTGTTCATCAGAGAGATTATTGTACTTGTGAATACTACAAAGCTTTTCCTCCTTTTTTGTTCTTCGGGTTCTTCAGTGTCATCAAAGCAAGCGCAGCTAACCTGCTTTATGCAATTTAGGTTTCAACTATGAGCCATAAAGAAGATTGTAGGCCCAACATTGACAGTTTGAAGAGCGTGCATGTTATGATCAGGTGCTCAACAGTTGTGCAAAAGGTGGTCGTACCACAATCGTGATGGAGAAAGCAGTGCCATTTACTTAGAACTCAATCCTGGTCAACATGTGTGCCTTTTGTGAGGTGGCCACTTTATTACCAAGTATAAAACTGCAACTTTTTATGAATGCAGACTTTGTCCTTGTGCCTAAATCCTATTCAGTTCACTTGAGCTTGCTTTTTTGTATGTTCTGCATGCACAGGTTGCCAGTTGAGGTGAACTAGTTCTTGAACTTGTACAAGAGATGGAACCAGTTCCATCTCTTGAAACTGGTTTTAAGCAACTGCCATTCAAATCCTGTAGTTTTTAACTGCAGTGAAGCTAGAAAGACAATCGCAGGAGTATGTGGTATTATTTCAGAGACATTGCAGGTGAAAAGCACATAAGAGGTGAGCACAAAATGTGGATTCACGATTTCACAGTGTCTATGCCGATGCATGACGATGTCAGATGAGAGCTGTGCTGCGACTATGCTGTGTGCATATCTCTGGTATTACAGCACGCATAGTTATGAGCAAGCTTCTTAAGTGAGAGGAGTGGGCCGCTGACTTTTGAAATCAGCAAGGCATTGCCGAGTATTTCCTTGACAAATCATGCCATATCTTCATTTGTCTAAACATGTTGTTGGGTTAGCTTGGTCATGCTTGATTAAAATGCTTAATACACGACCCTAGGCAATGCAGGTGACGCTAATTTCTGTTCTGAAGTCCTTTAGCCTTGGGTTGTGTCTTGACCATTCTGGTCAGGCATATCTCCACCCCCAAGTTTGCTTGGTTGCCTACACAGCAGTCATTGCCACCATTATGCCGAACCCTCACACTCAGGGCTCTAACGCATTTACCCAAATCATGTATGCCTACACTGGTGCCGTTTTCTGTCCATAAATTAAAGTATTCAATAGTACAGGCTCATGAATACTGTTTTGTTATACTTTTACATGTACCACTTCATTTGGTCAGCATTGACAAGTCCACAACTTCAGTGTGTATAACTATGTTTATTTGCAAGCTTATCTTTGAGGGGATAACTATGTTTATTGTAAGCTTATCTTATTGCGAGGGACCAGGTTGAGCAATATTAGCTGTACAGCGAGTGTTTTCAAGCCGAGGTTCTAGTTTTCAGGCCCATACTGGTAAATGTAAACGGCACAATGAAGTATGGTCTTGCTGTTTACATGCAGACTGTTCAGGGATTCCACATTTTTCAGTACCATTTCGGGATGTGAAAATTTTCACGCCGATTCTGCACATGTTCTTCACGTTAAATCCCTATGCAAGATTGCCCTAATCTTAACCACAGAAAAAGCCGTTAAAAGCTATTGGAGGCTCCTCAATGCAGTCAAATCATATTCTCTGATGCAGTTTCCCAGTTTTATAACATAACACAGGAAGCAATCAATGCAAGCATGAGAAAACCTAGAAGGTGGATTTCGTTGCCACACTTACTGCAGTGCATTACAGTGGGTCAATACATTCACGGAGGTCTGAGCACGCTCTGTGTCTCTGGCCTATAAGAAAAGACTTATCACTCGCAACCAAACAGGTAATCAGACATCAGGAGTGTTCTCTGCTTTCTTTATGCGATTGACACATACTATTCTCGCATGGAAGTATGCACAAAGCTGCGAATTAGCTCATGTTGAATACAGTAGTTCGATGAATGTAACAACAGGTAGAATATTTTATTTTTTTTCATAAAATGTGAATGAGGATGGCAGCTGCAAAATGCAAGTCATATCGGTGGGGGTCTTGAAAGGTTTTTGTAGCTTAGAGATTAATAAATACTCCGGTCAGACTGATAAAATTGGCGTCTTTCAACATTATCGTTCACAGACAGTCACACGAAGTTTAGTTAAATGTGCTGTAGAACATGCTCAATAACAAGTGTGCCAGCATGAAGCCATGCAGAAACAGACCAGTATGCCACTCTTCACAAATCATACCTAAACATATGCTTAATTCTAGTAGCGAAATTAGTTTCATGTTTGATGACAAGCATGTCTAAAATGCAGCTGTCATTATGCCTGCTAAATTATTGAATACTAATTTACTGCTGACCCCCATTTGAAGGTTCTGCCAGTTTTTTTTTTTGACAAGAATCCTATGTCAAGCATGCATCGTGAACTTAGCTTCTGTAAGGCTACGTGATGTCCAGTTTTTTCTGTGTCAAGTGTTTCTAGGATAGCTAACCACAAACAATGCTTGTCATTTCTTTCAATAAACGTTGACTTTAGGGGTGGTCAATAACATTGGCAAAGACTGTAGTGCTGGTTGGCCAATGGCATTCACATTACTTCAATCAGAACGTGTGTATCACAATCCATTTGCGTGTCATAACTCTATTCAGAAACAGACTTCATTGGTTAACTCTATACTGTATTCACCATGCAGAACAAAATGACAAAACCAGTGACACCTTCGAAGGCAATTCTGATGAGCATTTCGTGTTTTCAATCCCGAGCTAGTAATTTGCAAAAACACTGATCCCCACATTCACATACGTTGCTGTGGTCATAAAATGCTTATAGCCATGAGAGTGACTGGTCACATGAACAATGAAAGGTATGCACAGGATAAAACAAAATATACAAACAATTCAAACCAAAATTAACGCGAGAATAACATAATTCCGATCGCATAAGTATTGTACCCAGCTCCAACTTCCTCGTAATAATTTATGGGGTTTAACTATGAGTGATGCTGTAGTGTAGGGCTCCAGAAATTTGGACCACCTGGGGTTCTTTAATGGCCACCCAAGTCTAAGTACATGGACCTGCAGAATTTCTCCTAGGCTATATCACAATTGCAACCTCTTGCTTGTCTCAGTTGTGCAGAAGTTTTATCAGCTCTCAGACTCAAGTTACTGCACTTAATTCACTACAACTCATCGGCACTTTGTGCGACAAGTTTCTCACGATGGGCCTCCTTTAGTCCAGTTGCTTTGAGTATTTGCAGGAAGCGCTCAACTGCAATGTTACAACTAAGTAGTTGCCTTCAAATATAGATCTTTTTACCACATACTAGCACAGACCCTGGTTGACTTCTGCTTTATCTACGGATGCAGCATACTACTGACTAAACGCTTTTATGAGAGATGCTGATGTCGTAGGCAAATGTGGATGTGATGCCAGTGTGCCGGCATTTTAAAGTAGTTGGTAAGAAAATGCGCGAACGTGGTAGTACCTTGCCTATAAGAGACACCTCATATAAAAGTTAATATATGCTCCCTGGTACATCTCTCTTATCGAGGGTTTCAACTGGGCAGAAACGGCACAGAAAATGCTTTGAGAGTTGCTTGTAGATTTAAAAATTTTTTCTCAATGTGCTCAGCCTAATATTTCAAACAGATATGCTTCTAAGCTATTCAGAAGATTATGAGAAGCTTTATGAATTCTATGCACTCTCCTTTTGTCCGTAAATGTGAAAAGAGACATTACTTTGGGACAACTTGAAAAAATGGTTTCCACTTCCGTGTTAAAAATGATAACTGAAGTGAGCAGAAGTTGCTTGGAGTACAACGTTTGCTGCTACTATCGCAATACTGAAAAGGGAAATAGCGACAGGATGAAAAAAGAGGCTGAAGATAAGGAGTGTGTGGATACACGGGACCAAAGTTTTCGTCACTGAAGAAGGTGTTGCATGAGTAGTACATCCAGCAAGAGCACTTGAAAGGTCAATGAGGCTCTTAATGTTTCACAAACAACCTTGCATAGCCTACAGTTCACCAGCTTACTGAAAACCATGCTATTTTTGCTGTACATGTGCAGCCATCTTCTATCCTCTGCCAAGATTGTGTGTGCTTTTTTCCAGCCTAAGGACACGAGACTGGCATACTGGACACTAGCCAATCCAATGTCTTGACTTTCAGTCGATGTGCGTCAAGCAGCAAATTCGGTGACGACGTAACATTTAAATTGTGAAAACAGACGTTTCTCACTGTGTTTTACTATGTTACAAGAATGACCTTCGCTTTATTTCTTTTTTGCCTTCTTTGAAGACTTCTTTATCTCTTCCCTCTTCTGCTTCAATGCTGCTGCCTGTAGTGTGAACAAAAGAAACAAGAGCGGTCGGCTTTAATAACAAATTGAAGCCGACATGAAAGTACAGCACTCTCAGTAAACAGAACCTGAAGGGACTGGGAAAATATGTTCCACTTAACAGGAGTTCCCTTCATTGAGAGGTGAACATGGGTGCAGAATACAAGCCCGTAACCAAGTATTGTAGAGGCAATAGTTCCGTTTAAGCAGTAGTTTCGTTTAACACATTTCCGCTTACCGAGAGTTTACTGTAATGACAGCATGCACTAATCTTAGTACTTGTTAATTTATGTCAATGGTGTCACCCTTTTAGAAATTTAATAATGGTGCATAACCATACTTCACATTAACGAAACGCACCATACAAATTTAGCTTTCTGTGCATCCCTAATCAACAGTATGTTCTATTCATGCAATGTAGATACTATGTTGACAATGGTGCAGCTACTTGGTCAATAATAGCTCACAAAATACTAGAACAGAAAATCATTAAATGTTGTTAACAGTTTTACCACAAAAACCAGGCAGGTCAAATAGCTACAAACCTCACGAGCCCGGCGCTTCTGGCCAAAAACGATCTTGTCGTAGAGCCGCTTGTGCTTTTTCGGAATCATGAGAACGGCAAGACGTTTCTCTTCACTCTTGATCCTCTGAGCCACCTTCTCAGGGTCTTCACGGACGACTGTGGCTGCCTTTACGCCAATGAGGGGCTTCTTGGTCGCAACAGCAGGCTCGAATCCTGCGTCAGGTTGCTTCCTCTTCTTTGCTTCTTTAGTGCGCTGCTTCCTGCTTGCACTTTTCTTTACCTCTTCTTCGTCATCTTCACTTTCTTCCTCCTCTTCATCACTGACCTCCTCTTTGTCATCTCCACTGTCTTCACCCTCACTCTCGTTATCTTGCTCGTCTTCCGATTCTGTCAAGAAAAAATGCGACAGGGTTGCATGAAAGTGCTATCAAAGAGTATCAAAGGTCATTGCAGTTTCAACACGAGCGAAAACGTTTTTCGGCCTGGTCGGAAAGGACTGCCAATCAGCAGTCTTGGCTCCCGAGAACATGGGAATCAAACATTACAGCGCAACACGTGGCCTGGAATTCACCACGATCTCTCAAAGTCGGTAAGGAATCCAACAGTGAAGCTTACTGGGCAAGTTGGCGAATCATGACGGTAGGAACGACGCAAACGTAACATGCGACGAAGGGGGGGACACATACGACGACAGAGCGCTCACATCGTTGTGTGTGTGTCACTCCTTCGTCCCATGCTTCACGTTCGTGCTGTTCCTACCATCAGTAAGAAATCGCTTGCTCTTCTGTCAACAAATGATGCCATAGGCACAAATGACCGTGCCACGAACACAAAATCCACGGTCATTGGCCGATTTGAACATTGTGAGCAGCATAGTCACCGCTACCCCCGCGGGATGCCACGTTCCCGCAAGCTCAATCGCAATCACACTGAAAGTAAGCCGTGCATTTCTTCACCCCTTGTCATCCAACCCACCCCTCCATATCTTTCAACACACTCACTAGTACAAAAGGAGAAAGAAATCACTTAAAGAATGTGACAAATGCTTGTAACTCGGCTCGTACTTGACCGACTCTTAAGATTTCAGCGGAAGTCAGTTCATAAGGCAATAAGCACCTTTAATGAAGCCATTCAGAGATTACTGTTCGAACATTTTTGCATGGCTTATCAAACACTGCGACTTCAACAATGCCTAAATGCAATGGGTATTAACTAACAATGTGGCATTGTTAAGTAAATGCAAAAAAAAATAAGTGCTGCATTGATATCAGAATAATGCGAATGACGCTAGGTGTGCCATTACATACCCAAGTAGACTCTCATTAAATGGAATCTGAAGGGACCAGGAAAATCTGCTCCATTCAACAGGAGTTCTGTTTACTGTGAGGTGAACTGGGTTGCAGTATGCACGGGTGAAACTAATCATATAAGAGGCAGTTGTCCCATTTAGGCAGCAGTTCCATTTAACAAATTTCCATTTCCTGAGAGTTAACTGTACTGTATTACAAACTTAAAATATAATGAAATGCCAATACCATTCGAAGCTTCTTAAAAGCCAAGTGCAACAAAATTTGGCACTACGCAAAAAGTCAATATATAGGTAGTCTAGCTAGAGGTAGTGCTGCCTGCCAAATGTCGCCTTCGTAACGCAAGTGCTTACCTTAGAACGCTGACTCCGTTTGCTGTAACTGATCGGCAGCGCTCGGAAGCGTTCGTTGTAAGTGGGATTTCATGCCATTGAAACAATGTATATTTTCACGATCATGCGGATATTGTTTGTTTTAGGAAGTCTGGCCATTAGACCATATTTACTCGCGCAATCCTCGCACTCACATAATTCTCGCACCCCCACATCGCCCCACAAAAATACGATTTTTTTCCTCGAGTAATTATCGCATCCCCGAAAATTGCCGCAATAATGTCCTCTGCTCGTTCCAGCCGTTCATGATGATAGCGTGCATTATCTCTTAAAGGAGCACTGACATCAAATTTACTCATGCCAAGATTTTTTGCATCAGTGAGTAGCTATAGACCCCGTAGCAGTGATTCGCGACCTAAAACGCAACTGAGAAATGATAGCTATCACTTTTACTGATTTATATTACTGGGATTTAGCACTATTCAATACGGCTGGCAATCCCGCCATTTTTAGCACTGTGAGCGCCAGCAGTGGCGCTATTTCGCGGTCACCTCCAGATCACGCCCCAGCTGACCTTTTCTCCACAGAAAAGAGGGACGTCGGGCTCAGCTGCTCCGCAAACATTTCGTCTGCTAGGCGGACACATTCAGTCATGCCTTGTCACCTGCATTGCTGTCGTCGCCGTACAAAGTGTCGACTCGGGTTCAATACGATAAGGCTGGTGCACACCGGCGACTAGCAGTGGTCGCGCGACCATTTGCGACTGGCAGCAAACGGTCGCAAACGGTCGCAAAGCGACTGCTTTGGCTAGTCGCTTCCTGACCGATTTTTCAGTCGCGCGACTGCAGTCGCAAAGCTGCTGGAACCAATCAGAGATGCTCAATTTTTATTTTTCAGTTTTTTCATTGCGCTGGCTTCCTGCCGCCAGATACAAACGAGTGCGTTCCTCTGGGTCTGTGGCACCATGGCCGCCACGGAATACTTGGCTTGGAGATGGTGGGGCGCCGCAGCTCGGGCAAAGTGTCGAATTTACGTGGCGGCATTCGCGAGAAGCTAAACACCGTCAAAGTAAAGAGAATATAAATTGTGCACTATCTTCCCCCTGTATTCAGAAACGTTTTTTGTCTTGAACTTGACTTGTCACCGCCTTCAATGCAGCGCGTTTGGAACGCGTTTGTGCTTCATGCCTTGAGAACGACTTGAGACACCGCGTTCGTGACGCGTTTGTGCTGCGATGTAGGCTGCGGCAAGTCAAATTAAATTCAAGGACCGTTTCTGAACACGTACGACTCTCGGAAATACTCCTCGTCGTCTCAGTGTGACTCGAGAGGCAGGCGGCTTGCATGGTCGGCCAACTCCCGCGATTCGAAAGGACGGCCACACCCACTACCGGCTTTTTTTTCTTCTTTGGAGGCATCTGTGATGCCAGCCCCGACACAATGGCACAGCGCACCAGGCACTATGACAGTGTCTTGTTCTTCGCTTGAATCTAACTTGACGCTGTTGGGAACGCCGTGTGAGAACGGACGAAAACAATAAATGCGGCGTGCTCGGTTTGCTCCGCTCACTCAGCTGGCGGCGATCAGCTGATCGGCGCCTGGTCTCCAGAGTTCTCGCTGATAACGAGATCCGGACGCGACTCTGCGCTTTTGCGACTTCCGGTCGCTCGCATGCAGCCTCTGCCGGTGTGAACATCAGTCGCTTTTTGGTCGCCAGTCGCGAATGGTCGCGCGACCGCTACTAGTCGCCGGTGTGCACCAGCCTATAGTCTGGAGCTTGGAATCCCCGATATTCGCGACGTCGAAAATTACTTTTGCTTCCATCGACCTTTTGCAGAACAGTGATTCTGAAATGGATGCCATTCCAAGCAGCACTGCAGAGGTGCCCGAGAATGCACGCTTCAGCCATGATCGCTTGTGTGTCTCAGCTCGATTGGTGTGTTTTGGCGTGCAAAGCATTCAGGTCTACGCAGAGGGGTCAATGCAATATAGCTATCATGAATGAGCATCAGCGGAGAAATAGAACACGTTTCCTGCTTGTCAGGCTCTTTTTTGCGCCTCCAGATGGCCCCACCTATCCAGCCTTTCGCAGGTTAACACGGTATTACCACTTTTACGCGGACGCAAAATCTACAGATGAACTATAATTCAACGATATCTGCATGTCACTTGTTAGCGATGATATCTGACTACACGCACTTCCACTTTTGATAGCTTGTGGTCCGTGTCGATAACACATACGTACAGTCGTACCCGGGTATATCGAACTTGCCAAAAAACATTCGATATATGGCATAATTCGATATAGGCCCGCTATAGGTTTTAACACAAAGGTACATAACAAACTAGAAGAAAAGTACTTTATTAATATGGTGGCTTACTTGTGTGCCCTACTGAGGAACAAAAGTGTCCCGGATTTTTTTCTGTGTCAACGACTTTGCTGCCTGCGACACGACGCACGCCTCCACGTTGTCCAACGAGTCGGAGCAGCTGAGGCTGCAACCTTCCACATTCAAGCAATAGCGCCGGACCAACGCAAGTGCACTAATCACTTCGGAGGATGTAGGCAAAGGGCCAGCGTCGATTTACATATTGCTGTCTCTTTAGCTCGTGGTCAGCACGACGTCTGCAATGTAATCCTCATCCTGTAATTAGTCCATGACGGGGACATCATCGTCCGCACTGATGAACTCGTCGAATGTCGATCCCTCCGATAGCACCCGGGAACTCTGCCAGCTCGTTCCAAGCTTCGGCAGGAAACACCTGCAGTGTCTTCAGTGCAGTCAGAATTTGGGGTGTCATCACCAGGCATGCGGAAGCCGGCATGCCTAAAGCAGTTCTGAATTGTCTCCTTCTTTACATCTGCCCACGATCTACTCAACATAGAAATAGCTCCGAGCAAGTCGATCTTAAGCTCCCTGCCGACACGAAGGTTCTGCAGCAGCCTCTCCACCAGGCGCTTCCGATAGCCGGCTTTCATTGCGCGTATAACGCCTTGATCTAGCGGTTGCAGTACAGACGTAGTGTTCGGGGGCAAAAACGCAGCTCGATGTTGCTGAAGGTCGCTACTGCAGTGGTGCGATGAACAATTGTCCACGAACAGGCACACCTTGGGATTTTCGCCTACTACATCATCATTTCACAACGATAGCCATCTGCTGAAAAGCTCCCGCGGTCATCCACGCTTTTGAGTTTGCTCAGTAGGTAACTGGAAGCGACAGCGCTTTTTGAAAACACCGCGGTGTCGTGCTTTTCCCGATAACCAGAGGACGAAGCTTTTTCCATCCATCTAAATTAGCTGTCAACAGCACGGACACACGAGCTTTGTTAACTTTGCTGCCGCTTGTCTTGTCGCCACGACACGCAAGTGTCTTGTTTGGCAACATTTTCCAAAATAGAGCGGTTCCATCTGCATTAAACATATCTTGGGCTCTATATCTTGCTGCGATATCTCGCCAGTTTTCCTTGAGCCATTTTTCTACGCTGTCCAGGTCCGCCGCTCTGCTTTCACCTGTAACAGCTTTGCCAACGATGTCGTGCCGTTCTTTGAACCGCTGAAGCCAGCCTGAACTGCCTTGGAAATCATTCCTGCCAAGCAGAAAAGCAAGGTCCTTGGCTTTCTGCTAGATCATAGGGCCGGACACCAGGATGTTTCGCGACCGAACGTCCACAAACCACTTGTAAAAGGCCGCTTCAACATCTTCGTACACAGCAGCGCGCATACGTCGGGCGCCACGGGCACCTGGCCTTTTGTCCGACTTGGCCCTGATGTCTGCCTTGTCCTTCAGGATAGTACTCAAGGTGCTCCTTAGAATTTTGTACGCGGCGGTGACGTCGGACTTCTTTTCACCGCGCTCAACCCGATTGATGATTTCGAGTTTCGCGGCGAACGGCAAGTTTTGCCTCTTTGCGCAAGCCATGATGACAGCGCGCCAATACAGTTCACAGAGCACCAACAGGCAGCACCACAGACCACGCTGAATCTGCAGCAGCAGCCGCACAGAAGCATAAAGAAAGAAAAAATGGCGTTCACTTCTACCGCCTCCGCGCCTCGGAGAAAGTACAACGGCCTCTAATTGGCTGTAAGCGCTGCGAGCGGGCCAGGATCATTTCTTGGAGGGGGATGTTCGCCCGCGCACAACCGGGTCTAACCAACTTTTTCTAGGGTGGCGCCGGCAGTTTTCCCGCCACTGCGAGGGAAAGCCAACTTGCTGGGGTACTTTTGAGGCACATGGAGTTTGACATATCAGTTGTCGTTGCTATTTTCGTTCGATAAAACAGTCTTTTGCTATATATTCTCAATGTACACTTACCGTGTTTAGGAATTGTTCGATATATGGGATAATTTGATATAAACGGGTTCGATATAGGAGGAGGAGGAGGAGGTAAGTTTATTTACAGAAAGGCAGAGAGGTCGGCCTGAGCGATAGCCTGCTCTAGCTTGTTACTCTACACTGGGGGAAGGGAAAGGGGAAAAGAAAGATTAATGGTTCGATATAGTCGGGCTCGACCGTAATATGAAAAGACGCCCTCATTGCGCTTTTTTCGTGCTTCGAACTAGACGACTGCAACTCACAACGATTCCCCGACATGCTGACCAACAAGCACACGTTTAATCATGTTTTTTTTTTCGCCATTCTTTTAAAGGTGGTTTTCATCTTGGTAATTTCACGAAACCATTCAAACTGGTGCGATGAAAATCAGACGTGACGAGCCACGGCCGGGCTAAACTGCACCTGCGCGCGCTAGCCCGGCCCTAGCCCGACAGTGGACGAGCGAGTGCGTTGCTGCATTTCGGTGCCAGTCGGCGCCATGATAAGAGCACTCGGATCGTACACGTCATCGCTACTAGGGCATCGTCACTCAGGATGGTATTTGTGGAATGTATCACACTGAACACGTAGCACCAGTGTCGATGTCCTAGGGCAGTATATTTTTCCTTTTCTTCTCCTTAGCTTTCTACGCTGTTTCACATCGAATTAAAATAACTTCCACGCGACGGTTGCCATTCAAATTTGGTCAAGAAGACCTATGCATACCAAGCGATCGAATCATGGGCACATCTCGATTTTGAAATTTGATGTCAGTGCTCTTTTAAGCATCAAGTGTACTATTATCGCATGGAGATTCAATCTAATTCAAGCCAAGCCAAAGCGGCAAGTGCCCGTTGTGGCATGTTTTGTATGTTGTGTTGGTAATCTTGTCACGTTATGGGGCGATACTGTAGCTGCACGGCTGCTTTCGAGTTGAAAGTGAGATATCATGAACTAAACAACGACAACAGGGCCGCTGGTAGGCCCTTCGGAGTCTACGAGTTTTGGGTTCGCTACTGGGGACGGCAGCTGAAAGCCGCCAAGACGCCTTCGCCCTGCCGTGTGCATGAGACTGGTATTTATGGTAAACTATATTTCTTCGGAAGGAAACTGTGGACGATTCTGTTAAATAGCCATCAGCCCAATACTAACATGCTACTCTTACCTTTTGAGGGCTCCTGATGAGTGACGAACGCTACCGCAATGCCCAAAAGCTTTGCGTATGCTATTCTAATTCTCGACTATTTGCTTGCACTTTTTGTGTCTCAAATAAATCTTGCCTTGTGTTGAACCTGTGCTTTTATTTTTGAGGTGAGTTTTAAGTAGTACTTCTCAAAGCTTGCTGTTAGTTGCTGGTATGAGAATCCCGATTTGCGGCCACTTCTTTTTCTTTTTCGCTCTGTAAGTTTTCGTGGAAAGTTTTCCCCGTGTAATTCTCGCACCCCCCAACTTTGCATCGGTTTTCCGCCAAAAAAAGTGCGAGGATTATGCGAGTAAATACGGTATTTTTTTGAAACACGCAAATATTATACAAAATACAGGATCAATAACGTATATTATAAAATAGCACTTCAAATACAACTACCGTATGTGGTCATCCAAGTGCTACGTTCCTGCTACTAAGCTATAGGCTTGACACAAAAAATTGTCACACTTTAAATCAACAGATGTGGCAGACAAGCGACATAACATACAAGTGTAAAATGGCATAAGCAGGAATTGGTCTGGTGTGGCTTGCGAGTGTCCCCTTCACATCCACGTGCTTCAATGCTGAAAATTCATGCAGTCTATCATATTTTTCGAAAGCGAAAGTCTGCTGTTATTGTTAGTCGATTCTATTGTGCTCTTTATTTATTACTGAATAATGCCTCCATTACAGGCCGTGTGGTGCTTGAAACGAGCTACCAGCAGCATAGGAATGGAATGGAAAAACCTTATTAAACGAATAAGTTTTATCTCAGCAGCATTGCTGGAACGGACAATATGAGCCGATCAATCGCTATCACACTTGATCGCCGATTGGCCTAGAAGCCACGAGCATCCGCAGAAAGTACATTTTGCTGTCGGGCAGACTTGAACAACACAACTTGCGTCAGCACCTTGCACGGAGTCGTGGCTTAACTGAAACGCATGGACAAGTGCTGTTTCGTCCGCAAAAAAATTCTTAGCCCGCAATCGCAACCTTCGTGGCCCAAATATTGAGTTTTTTAGATCTCGGCGGTGCAACAACCAGTAACAGATACCAAAGCCTGAGACCTCAGAGCAGGTTGACGCAATTTTGTGCTATTTGTTGCAAGAGTGAAATTTCAGCACTTCTCACCTGGAATGTCGTCACTGTTCTTGCCCTCCTCTGCAGTTCCGTCATCTTCAGCTGTTCCTTCTTCTTCCATGCTCTCCTCTTCACTGACCACCGGTTCTTTATTTCCAAGAGAGACCATGAGAAAAAAAGATTTCGTAAGACCATGCAGTATTACAATAAAAAGATTGATTCTCAGTGCATTGGCTTCTGTGATTTATTTTGAATTAATTGAACATGTACAACTAGAAAAAGTTCAACATTTTGTATATGCAGAGGTACACAGAGAGAAAGGACAAACAAGCAAGGGCCCAAACTGACACATGTTATTTTAAGCTAACAAGAGCACATTTGTGATAATTTATTCATGCTAGTAACAACTCGCTATGACTAAAAATCATGCCTTAATGCATAAGAATCAAAAGTACCGTGAAGCTTGAAGTTTAATGCGAAAATATACTAGGGCTTACAAGCCATGTTAAAGACACCTCGAATGAGCTTCCTGTTTTTTTTTTTTTTTACTGATGTCGATTACTGCAAAGAACATGACTTGAGATTTGTCATTGCAAATGAGTTGCACAAGTTCTCTTTTCACTAAATGAAATGTAACTGGGCAAGCCTTCTGTAGCTGCTCCTATACAAAGGACAGCTTTGCCTTGAGAACATGTGTAGGTCTTCACATCAGCTTGGCAACAGTCTTAGAGCAGCAACAAAAAGCCTTGTCGAACGATAGCACACTAGTGCTAAGCACTGTTGTTAGGCGAACATGTCACTTATTAGAATCGAAGGCCAAAAAACAATGAACCATTTCGCTACGCCGGCCGGTGAATCACCGGCCGCTTAGAAAATGTGTATTTTTGACATTGTTTACTTTTGACATGCATGGTACACTATCTGCTAGATAGACACAGTTGTTCATTTTTTTGTTATTTTTAAGTGTTCTCTTTTTTTTTTAGTGACAAAGGGTGCACTACCCCGGCTTTTCCGAAAGATGGTGTGAGAAAAAAATAATGGGGAAGAAACCCGACTGTCGCGGCCTCACTATTACCATGCAAAATAATCCCAATAAAAACTAAGTAGGTTTCGTACAAGCGACTATGTATACTATTAAAATATTGTGCTTTTCAGATTTTTGTGCCATACGACAACCATGGCTGAACGCAACGCACAGCACAAAGTGTCACACAATGTACAGCAGCGTCAAAGACCGGCACTTGGAAAGTGAGAGCGGAGACCAACCTTCGCCCCGTTGTACACGCAGCATGGCCAGCCTCTCGGGAGGAACATAGTCTCCCTCCTTTTCTTCCACAAAGGGCGACAAGTGCGGTGGCAGAACTTCGCCCATGAAGTAGTCCTGCTCAGGGAGCAGCTTGCGGTAGTTGACACAATCGTAGACCCACTGTGGTTGCACGTAGTACCTGCATCAGGCCCATATATTAATTTACAAAACTAAAGATACACTACAAAATGAAAATGACATTAAAGTAAGTTCCCCACAGTATTCATATACTTGCAATAACATTCTACTCCTTTACGCTATGAAACAACAATTACAGTAAAAGCTCGTTAATTTGGATTTCACGGGACAGGAAAAACTGTCTGAATTAACCGAATGCCGAATTAACGAATGAACAATGAAAACAACATTTAAAATCAAGCTGCAGAAGCATACCTTTATTTGTTGAAGTATTTTGTAATTGCCGTCTGCGTTTTCGCGCAAATTCCGGCTGACATCACAATTTTTCTTAACTGTTCCAAATGGTCAACAGCACACAAGCTGTCGGGAGTGTTCAGGCAAGCGTCCTCTAATATTAACAGCGCCTCCGAGACTTCCCGTGAGGTGCGATCTCCTCGCATAATTCTTCGTCGGAATCGTGGTCTTCATGGGTGCCCGTGACATCATTAGTAATCTCTTGATCGGTCAGGAGACCACTCGTGGCGACACCATGATCAATCGCGATGTAGTCCTGAAAGGTCACATCTGTGGGAAGGACAGCATCGAAAGTCGGGCAGTCATCGTCGGTGGACTCGGCTGACACCTCCTCGATGCCATCGTCAGCTACTGCTGCATGCTCGGGCCTCACAAAACCGCTGCGCCGTAAACAGTTGGCGATGACTTGCGGTGGAGTGTTTTTCCACACGTGGGCGATGATGTGCACTGCACCGAGTAAGTCCACTTGATACAACTTTCCAGCTTCTGAGCATAGGATCATTCGCTCTAGCAGGTGCTTGCGGTACTTCGACTTCACGTAGTGAATGATACCCTGGTCCATCGGCTGAAAAGCAGACGTAGTGTTGGGCGGCAAAAAAACTACTTTGATGCTCCTCAGTTCGACTGTACAACTTATGGGCACTGCAGTTGTCAACAACCATAATTATCTTGCGGTCCTTCGACGTGAAGTGCCAGTCCAACTGCTGCAGCCAGCTGTGAAAAATGTCCGATGTCATCCATGCCTTCCTGTTCGCTGTGTACTCGACAGGAAGGCTTTTGACGTTCTTAAAACAACGTGGCTTAAGCGCCTTCCCGACAAGTAGTGGCAAGCGCTCCGTGCCAGTCATATTGGCGGCAAGAAGCACAGTTATCCTTTGCTTGCACTTCTTGCCACCAATGCACACGTCCCCTTTGAAAGTCACCGTCTTGTCGGGCAGAGCTCTGAAAAATAGAGCAGTTTCATCTGCATTGAACACGTCACGTGGTTCATATGCGACGATGTGCTCCAGCAGCTTCACATTTCTCCACTCGGTGGTCACGCTTTCGTCAACACTGGCCTTTTCGCCGCACACACTCCTGAAGACAAGTTCGTGTCTCTCTCGAAACCTCGCAAACCACCCTTCTGACGCTTTGAACGATTCAATGTTCATCATTGCAGCGTACTTCTCACCTTGCGCCATGATGAGAGGTCCGCTCAAAGGCAGATGCGCGTTGCGACAGTCAGTAATCCACCGGAGCAAAGCTTCTTCGAGCTGTGGATGAGCTGCGGTTCGCAACCGCTTTCTAGAGGCATGAAACGTCTCGCTTTCGAAGGCTTGTCGAATCTGTTGTTCATTTTTCACGTACGTTCCCAACCTGCTCCGCTCCACGTTGTACTTGGTCATAACCTGCTGTCGCGATTCGCCGTTCTTCAGTGCTTCCAAAATTTCCACTTTAGTCGCCAAGTTCTTCGCGTCATAGTTCTGCCGCTTTTTCGGCGTTGCCATCACTGTAGCGCACAATGGTGGTGACATGCAAATACGGTCACAATGGAAGAAAAAGAGAACTCCGCAAGAAGAGATGGTTCCGACACGACAACACAAGGGAAAATGGCGTCGGAGGCGCTGAGTGGAGAAGAAAGAAGACACCGACGTTCGGTGACGCTGCAATCGCCCCCACTAGTTGAAGATGATGGCGATGCCACTCAGGTTTCGGTTTCACTCCAGTGGTGCCAGCGCTGCTTTATCACACTTTTGTGTAGCAGCAGCCATCAGCATTTGTCCGAATTAAGCGGTGCGGAGCCGAATTCCGACGAAATAACGAAGGTTTGGTCCCATAGATTAACATGCACTTTGGCCGGGACCAATAGAGCCGTCCGAATTATCCGAATTTCCGAATTAACGGGTGTCAAATTAACGAGCTTTTACTGTATCCCATCACTATACCTAGAACATAGCATTTTAACGCTTGAGACGAAGTCCCGATGAAGAGTTCAGAAGGCAGGCTTTTTTTCTCACCTCCATTCCTGCCATTACCAGAAGTCAGTCAACTCCCAGATTTATAATCACACAATGATTGCTTTATCAGGCTAAGTACACGACTACAGGGTCCAAGCCTTCGTTTTGCTGACACTGAATTGCTGATACAGTTTTGAGCAATGATAAGCACACCCTTTATTTCTTTTTTCCACATTATAAGGCTAGGGTTGCGCTTCGCTTTCTGCACAAAATCCGAGTTCTATACTTTCGATAATGAGCACCCTCTTACCCCTTTTTCAGAAGGAAAAAAAAAAAAAGAAACATCACAGAAAAGAAGGGGGGGGGGGTGCCCGAACAGCATAAACGTTAAGGTCTCATAATCGCTCATAAACAATGCAAGTGGGATGTCAGCACTATAAAGGAATGTGGGTAATACGTACGGATCAATCTCAAGAGGAATCAAAAAGCCTTATTACCCGCAACTTTGTATATTAAAAAAAAAAGCAAATTATTATCCAAACCACGGTATATGCACCAAACATTTTTTTCCGTAAAAAAAAAACCCTTCTGGACACGAACGGACCACTAAACACACGAACGGACCACTAAAGGACGCCACAGCTAGCTGCCGCGAAAGCGCATCAATGCTTCACTTAAGACCAACTGAAAAGCAGTCAAGCACACTCCAGCGTAGTCATATGCGAAGACATGAACAGCAAAATGTTTTGTGCATTTTTTTTATGCCTTTATTGCCATTAATCTACCTCTGTGTTAGCTGCGTATCTTTAGAGCTCACAGTCCCTACGAATAATTGCGTCGCAGTGACCACAGTTTCACTCACGGCGGTCGCGGCTACCAATGATTTCATCTGTCGCTGTTTTGTCGTCAGTGTTTGTGGAAAGAAGCGTTCTTTTGACTGGGTGACCGTTGAGTGCATGTGCACTTTCAGAGTTCTTTCAGTTTTTTGTCGCCATATATGGTTGGGTTGAAAGTGACCGCAGTTTCATTGGACAAAATGTGTCCTTCCAAAGCTTCCAGCACGTTGCTCTTGGCCATTGCTAGATGGTTTGGTAACGTGACGCACCAAAGTGTTTGGAACATCTGAATTTCGGCCCACTAGACACAGTGTCAATGCGGCCAGATAACACACAGAAGTTTCAATTTCTGGGAGGTTTTTTAGCCAACCATATAAACGCGAGAATTGGTCGAAATCCGGGAGTTTCCTGGAAAATCCGGGAGACTTGGCAGGTATATGTTTGCTTGGCGTCATTGTTAGTAATTATACGTCAAAACATAAATAGCACACTGACACAAGTGACACTGCTGACTGATACGAACTACGAAGCCGCATGCCAACTTTTGCGAAAAACAGCGGCAAGACTACCATTAATAGGTGAGCTGTACCTGTTCATGTAGCGTTTCTTGATTTCTGGCCTGTCGACAATCTGGTGAGTCACTGTGGGGTCGTTTTCGGGAAATGTGGAGCCAACGAAGAGGGACTCGTCCCACGACACCTCTGCACCGAAAGAACTGTAGCCAAAAAAAAAATGCACCTATTGAAGTTTTATTTTTTCCGGTTGCTCCAGGATTCACATATGATCAATTTTATCCCTTGTCAAACCTTTGCAATATTATATGGAGTGTCAAAGGGTAAACAGCACTGTTTCAGCGGTCATTTTCAAGCAATCTATTTAGCACTTTTACTTTGCCCGCGACCTAACTTTCTGTAAATAAATTCTCTCTCTCTCTCTCTTACTTTTCCCGCCATTTTAGGGTGATTTTTTTTTTAGCAATCTACAGAACCCACAGCAGCAACAACTGAGCACAGTGATTTCCCTGCCTGTTTATGAAGTGAGTGCTTTAGAAAAGGCGACACACAATGTGATGGAACATAAAGTATAGCATAACTGTCTTCTTGCTAAAAAAGCTCAAATTCGGGAAACAACAGTAAGAATTTGTGTGGGAAGTCTTGGAACCTGAATCCTTTGCCCATTGTGCATATCAAGCTTATTAAAATATTACAATTGATTTAGTTTAATGTTCCAAAACCATGATAAGGTTATGAAAGACCTTGTAATGAAGGGCTCTGGAAATTTCCATCCCCTAGGGTTCTTTAATGTGCACCTAGGTAAATACAAGTACTCAACCTCGAGCAGTTTTGCCTCGGGCAAAAAAATGTGGTTGCAGCAGCCGGGATTCGATCCCACCACCTGCGGGCAAGAACATTGCAGGCTATATGAAATGTCCTGTACAGTTCAATTCCAGACCCACCAGTCTGATTTTCCATAGAGGCGAAAACGCTGGAGGCCCCCACTCTCAGATTTAGGTGCACATCATAGAATACCAGGCAGTCAAAATTTCCTGGTGCCCTCCATCACAGTGTGCCTCAAAATCACATCCAAGTCTTGGCACATTAGACACCAGTAAATATTCAATGTTGAGCACAGAAGGCACATGAATCGAAGATAAGAAAGTGTGCTCAAAAGACACTTAATTAAGTCCCTAATGACACCTGTAAAATTGAAGCCCATCATTAGAAAAGCGAAGGACATATTAGTTGCTGTGACATAGTAAATGCTTCATATGCCTCATACCGTAGCACAAATGTGAGTGATTCCCGAGGCACTTCCCTTCCAAGGAAGACTTTCAGTCCAGAGAAAAGATTCAGAAATTTCTTTTGCTTCTCTTCCTCGTTCTTGATGTCCTTATTACTCTCACCTTCAACCTGAAACGAGTACACAGACCTCTGAAAAATGGCGGCTCATTTTGCAGCTATTCCGGACATGTACATCCATAAGTCATGGAAGCATTGTGCAGAGGCGTGGTAAGTCTAACAATGATAGATGGCAGGGTCCTATATTTTTAGTGCACTCTTTTTCATGTAAATCTTGCAACTGGTAAAATGTCACGAAAACTTGAGGACATGTACAATTTTAGAATAGAAATGTAGACACTGTTAAAAGCTAGAGTAAAGGACTTACCTGACAATTACAGCTGTGCACTAAAACGTGGTTCATTCAATTAACGTGACTGCAAAAGCTTGCGTTATGTCAGAAACAAGCTCGCAAGTGAAAGAAATGAAATAATGTACAGAAGGAAGATGATGCATTTTTTAGACAATAAAGGAGGTGCGAGACGTCGTGTGTGAATAGTGAGCAGCTGTGACTGAAGTGCCATGCAAAAGGCCTTTTTAAAAAAGTGCAGCAAGGAAGTCCAGTGACCTCAAACATACCCAAACTCATCAGTTCACTGACTACTTACTAGTACTAAAGGGTATGTTTAATAGCATTCTATATATGCAAGCAGGCTTATAAAACATCGTACAGTTAAACATGAATGTACTCGAAGCAATATTCCTTTTTCTTGCCTTCAATACCAGGAGCTAACAGCTATATTCTTATATAAATATGCATAAATTATACTATCTAAACTTAAAAGACTCCAATATGTACATAACATGAAAAACCAAAATCTGTATTGTCCTGCACTACTCTACAGATGCCACACAACTATCCAATGCATCACACAGAATGAACGGCACGCAAAGTATAATCTAATATGGTGGACAACACAAATTCACAATGCAACCGAAAACTTCTGCAAAAGCTTTTGAATACTGATTGCAAGAAACTGCAGTATGCCTTGTAAAAAAGTTTTACTATAGCAACAGCAGTTTTATATTGCTTGCACTGTCTGCACTACCTTTGTACACAATAGTGGTCGTAGGAGGCAACTGGTAATATTGAGGTAGAATTGTTCAACCTCCAACAGCTAATCAGCTTCAAGCAAATGCTTGTCAGTAGCAATGTAAGCACTGCCGACAATGTATCAATACAGTTTGCAATGGGTGAATGCATAACTGCCAGCCTAGCTGCATGACAATTCGAGAGACGGCCGGGGCGCAAGGGGGGGGGGGGGGATTCTTTTTTTTTGTATATGTGTCGACAGATTCTATTGACGCACATGTTTTCCTGAGGATGTAAAAATGTTTTGCAGTTTTATTATCCACTGATCCTTTTTGTTGATTGCTTACTTTCAGTGCCATGTTGCTTTCCCTTTGCGATTCTCGCAATCCCACTTAATTCATTGCTGTTATGATAAGCTTGGTTGCATTATTGTTGTATGTGTGTGATAATTGGATTATTGTATGCTGTGTGATGCTTGGCTTGATTGCCTTACTGCCTGTACCATTCCTGCTTGGGCTCCATGCCTGCAGTATCTTGTAAATAAATAAATAAATAAATATTAAAAGTTACTGAGGCTGAGACGCTTGCGACATGCAGTCGTTACTTCTCTCCACTGAGATTACGAAAACACGACGTTTTAAAGCCTCAACCGCAGTGTGTTCGACATCTGCTGGGCATTTCCTCGACAATGACAGTTTATTTTTGCACGTCCACACCCGCACCGCATCACGCGCTCGCACTCAGAGAAAAATTTCCGAAGCAACCGTTATGCATCATCCCAAATGCTTAGCGGCAAGTTCTGTTCCACAATAAATTTTGTGAATAGGCATTTTGTGCGCATTGCACTTTGTTCACACCTATTTTGAAAGAAAGTTCCGATGTTGTCCAGCCTTTCCGCAACGAACGTAGTTCTGATGCTTCTGTGAAGCGATGTGCACTTTTATGATAGTTGTGCCACCATGTGAAACACTTACATCACAGGTGCACGTTACAGAATCCATACGTATCACTTTTCCGCAAAGTCACAAATCACGGAAACCCAGCGGTGCACCAGTCTAAAGGCACTTGCAAGAACTACTTTCTAGCTTTTGACACTGCCATCGGCCTTCCGACTGAACTCGGGTGAAAATGGGCCCCCCCACCCAACCACCTAACAAACAGGATTAACGCCTGGGCAGGCAATGTAGGGCTAGTGCACAAAATGCAGGGAGGAAGACAGACAGTTGCAAAAGTTGTTAGTAGTACCATTTCCCTCGCCTTCTTTTGGTACGGTGGCCAGCGCGTCTAGGGACTTATGCAGCAGGACTCTGTGGTATGCTTACAATGAACTACACAAGAGTAGTGGCGAGTGGTCTTCCGCAGCGCCGCAAATGCCACAGCAGGAAAGGCTGGTGTACGCACGTGATCACAAAAATAATAATATTAAGAAGAAGACTGAAAAAAAAAATAGCTGCCTACACTGTGGCAACCACTTTTCAGGAGATTCGCAGAACATTCGTACAATCGATAAGGTCAAAACTAGGGAGTCTCCTGGACGATTCGGGAGAGTTGGCAGGCATGCTGCACCAATGCCAAGCATCAAAAAGCCGCAAAGCTGGTACAATCCATAAGCTCTCTCGAACATCACATTAGTTCTAGCGCCATAAAAGTCTTAGGACCTTATCAATAAAAGGGCAGCCCCATTTTTCAGCCAACACAGAATCCTTACAGAGTACTGAGGTTTGCGAGCCAGTTGACAAGCCAGTAAAAATGAATAAAAAATAAGCTCACATCAGGGAAATCGTCCATCTGAGGTGCATCATCCGCCACGGCATTGGTGAGAACAGACTTGAGCTTGCTGTTCAGGGAAGCAACGCGCTGCATAAGAAAGTAATGTTCATCAGAGTTCATCACCATGCAAGGCTAATAATACAAAAAACCCCACAGAAAGCCCAATTTCTGACAGTGCAAACAGAACTCGGGCCTACCTCCGACACTTCGTCTTCATCGTCGGCATCAGTAGGCTCTGGAGGCTCATTTTCCAGCTGTGATTGAAACAATGTATTATAAGACCAGCGAGCTCACAGATACTTAATGAGGGAATCACGAAGCTTGCCTTTGGTGGGTAGTGAAGATTCAGTGAGTGGTACAACTTGTAGTTTACACACCCCATCAGCGTGACATAGAAATCGGTGAACGTGACCATGATCTTGAAGTCCACGTCTACTGGTTGCTGAATGGGTAACGAGAATAACAGCCACTCAGCCATACACAGTGGCACCTCACACAATACACACACAACGGCCCCTCAGGAATGCAATAACTTACCCGGAAGGAAAAATTGTGTGGCACGATCCACGTTATTGTCTGACCCATGATCTCTGCCTGGTAGTAGAAACCCTTGATGGAGACGAACACTTTGCGCAGTGCCCGTGTCTCAATCACATAGTGCATGAACTCCACTGTAAAACCCCAATGCACATGAATGCCCAACAAGAATAGTAAGCGTAATTGGTGTACACATAATGAGAGACATAAACAAAATGGCGGACAAAGTTTTGACCACAAGACAAAAATACTTAAAGGACACTAAAGGGAAACAATGACTTGGTTTAGATTGACAAAGTGTACTCTGAGAACTCTAATACCACATGTGTTGGTGTCATAAGTTCACTATTAGCGGGGAAAATCAAGGTTGAACTTTAGTTTTTAATTATCGCACCGAAATGATCGTACGTGACATTGAAAATTTCACCATGTAATTTTTGTATTTTCGTGACATTGGCTAGGTTAACTTTTTTTAGATTTCGCATGCTGGTTCTATGGCACCCACAGATGACAATGTACTTCATTTTTATCAATTAAAAACTAACATAGGACCTAGCAGACACCTTCAGAATTTATGACGCCACAGTGTTTGGTGAGGGAACCTCAAGGTGGCGTCTCCACACGCATTTTCTTTTCATGCCTTTTCTCGCTTACAAGGCGTCGTTTCACGCTAAAGGTGGTGTTTTTAAAGACTGCCAAATCGTACTTCACTAATAGGTGAAAAATCACTTTGCCCTTAAGTGTCCCTTTCGAACCTGCACAACGCTAGCCCAAGAAGACAGCATGAAATATCTGAAGTGCCACATTGGTGTTTTACAAAGCTGCCAGAGATAATCAGTTTATGGTCAGTGAAGTTAATTAGCATTATCAGTTAATCACCGCATTATGGCTGTGGTGCTGAACTCCAAAATGGCAGTCATGATGGATCATAACGATTTCATGCAGGTAAGCAAGGAAAAATATAATAATTTTACTAAATTTTTTCAATGATACACATGAATAGAGACAGTTGATTTCTAGGAGGAGCGTTTCAAACTTGCATTTGAGCAAGTGCAACTACACTTTTTGGGTGGCGAGAAAATGCACCTCGTACGATATTTAGTGGGGATAAATCTCCAGGTAATAAAGGAGTTTGAAAACCATTGTGGTGGTCCCTACTAACAAAAAACAACCTACAGCACAAAAAAATGAGATATCAACTGTAAACATTTCCCAAAATTTTCCAAATTCATTTTAGTAGTCATTAGTATTTTGCCCAATTGGTTGTCAAACTCCGCCACAATTTTGTTTCGAACTTCCAACTTACCAATGACTCTGCGGCAAAGATGAACAAGATGTGGTTTCACAACTTTCCCCTTCGGAAATGAAGAGAACAGATAACACATGGAGAGAGCATCATCAATGTCCCTGAGTGCATCCACAAATGTGGGGTATCTGGCAGAAAAAGAAAATAAAGTATCACAATCTTGTAGTGATGAAGTAGAACAAATCTCGGGTATTACAAAGAGGTAAAAGTACTGCTTACAATGTTTCACAACACAGAAATAGAAAGCATAAGATTCGATTAAGGCAGGCTGGATTAAAAAAAATGTTTTACAGCCAAACGGCCTTCTCTGTAAAAAAGCACATGCAGAGATCAGGTATGCTAGGTACCCAAACACATGATTTCAATGCTTACTCAGCCAAAATCATGATAGCTTACCTCTCTTTGACAATGTGATCAACTCTGTACACAGGTTCATTGCTACGAATGTGCTCAGCAGTGTCTCGCTCATTTTTGCCGATAGCTTTCCTAAGTCTCCTGATGAATATCTGGGGAAATAAAAAACATCTATGCACAGATGCAGCAGTGAAAGGAACTTGCACATCTTAAACACCAAGACTTGCTTCAGAACCAGCGAGCTCCTGCACTAACACTGACCCTAACAAAATTTCCAGCAAAGAAATCATGTCTCTGAAGCTTTTTCACGGTGCATGCACTAAATTTACATTCAAAATGCACACAAGTCTATTATGTGGTAACAGGAAAAATGAAATTGTGCATTCCTTTTTTTCATCTGTGTGCATGTCCAAGACCATAACCAGAAACAGCAGAACTTTTTACACAGCATGGGGGCAGTCTGTAAAACAGATTCTGCAACAGAAAACTGAACGTAAGGGAGCTAGCTGCCTAAGTTGCTGAGTAAAACAGGTAGGTAGGCATTGACTATGTTACATTTTTTTTTTTCTCTCTCTCTCTGTTCTTTTTCTCTCAACCGAGTGGACAATGACAGGTCCCTTCAATTAGCACCACGTGAACTAGTTCACGAGGTGCTGTACGTTGCCATTCCTTTCAGCGGTGCAGCATTGACGACCTCTGAACCCTGCTATTCGTTTCGAAAGGTGCAGAAGAGGAGCAGCACTGGTGCACAATTTTTCTGCACCTCCTATGCCGACTGTGCGAGCTTGGTGCAGCCACGCATGCAGCTGAGCAGACGACGCAGCACTTAGGCGTAGACGTTGTACCCGCCTCTACAAACGCGGTGTGTTTCGCCAAGATGTTTGCACCTCATAAACTGTCCGCATGTGCGATTCGCCATCGATCAGTGTTAGCTGAACGGTGTAAATTAAGCGAACAGAAATAGGGCCTGCACCTTGTCGGCACATCGTCCTTAATTTCGGGTGTCGTGCTGTGCCTGTACCGCTGAACTCGCGCTGCACAATTTCTGAACTTCGCGTGAACAGCCGTGCACCGGTTCGGACTGGTGCAGGTGAATCGAACGAACCTAACGTAGATTCCGAATAAACGAATGATGCAGAGTGTGCTTACCTTGAAATCCCGGAATTTCTGGATGATGGGCTCGTGGGCAATGAACTTGATGTCTTTTACCAGGTAAAAGGTGTTGTGTGCCGAGTTTCCGTGATTGACATGTCGTCGGTGTTTCGGCTCTACTGGATATATTCCTTTCAATATACATAACCTCCTGCAAAGTGACATCTCCATGAATAATACATTTTTTTCATAGTTTTCACGCGAGAACTTCAAATCCCAATAGAGCCTTGAACAGCGTCAAATTGCTTGGCTGAGCTGGAACCTCTCATGCATATTGAGCAAAGAAGCCGAGTGAGATCAAGAAACCCGATTTCTATACGAGCCGATCTAGATCACAAGAAAACCGTGTGCCACACAGTGCATTTACAGTCGCGATTGGTTCATTTAGCAAGTTGCGGCACAGAACCAGTCGACAAATTTTGTCCGGATAGAAGTTCGACTGAGACCGAAAGTGCACTGTACGACGCCGCTTTAGTCTATACACGGCTGTTGACACTCGTACACAAAACAAAGCGAATACATAATTGTTCCTCACCTGAAGTCCTTCAATGACAACTGAAGTTTCCTACAAGCCCTCCTTCTGCTTATGTAATGAGTGGCCGCTCCAGAAGTTCCCTACAACATTTTGATGTACAATGAACCGTCACTGGCTGGCGATCTCGAATGATCGTCAAGTAACACGGCTAATCAACGACATCTGATACTTTTGACAAGCTTACTGTACATATGCAACGTCGATATACAACATAAAACCTCGCGAGCAGTTCAGCCAAGGGTGAAATGAGTTAATAAATACGCTGACACTACATAAAACATGTCGTAAGCACGCAGGCTGACTTTGCACCGCTACAACTCCGTCCCGTGACATTACAGTACAAGGCAGAACGATACACTGATCGTTGCTGCAGAGCCCAGTTCAGCACTCTGCGAAGTGTTTGACGTTAAGTGTACGTAATGATGAAGTCGAACATTCACCTTCTTCTTGGGTTTGCGTGCCATCGCAGCCGTCAACACACGTGCGTACGCTACGCAAAAATAATGGAAACGGATTTGGATGCAGCTGGATTTCTACAAAGATTAAACCAGTGTTTTAAGCGATTGTCAAGCTACCTAACCAAATTTGGCTAAAAACAATAAAAACTTATGGTTTTTTAGTAATCGGCTGAATGAACAACCCACTCATAAAACAATTCGCATTGTGTGATTACTGGTTATTATTTTACTGCTTTTAAATGCTCTAATACGCATGTAATGTGATGCCTGTTACGACAGCATCACTTTAGCTTGCATAGGGTCCGTTTGCAAAAGAATTTAACGTGACCAGTGCGGCCAGCCACCAAAACTTTCTACATTACAAGATCACCGAGATGCACAAAAGTTTTTTTTTTCTTTTTTGTGTGCAATAGGTAGCCAACGACTCACTTATTGTTGTGCGCCACCCAATCACAGTTTCGGTTTCTCAGTGCGCTCTTATGTAACCGTGCATGGCGCCGAGTGAGGCGGGACCCATAGTGGCTTTCGTGTAAGCATAGATGGCTACGTCGGCACAAAAAACTGCGTGCGCGTGCACATTGCGTTGGCATCTCTTTTCGACTGAGGCTCCCTCCGAGAAATCACTTATATATGTGTGATGCCCCGAAAACCCACTGCCACTGCCGAGGAAAGGACACCTTTGTATTCCCGCGCGAACCTGCTGCCTCCCCCTGCTGAAAAGGTCTGTTAGGAGAGAAGTAATTGCCCTTAGATTTGTTCTTTTTACCAGGGAAAAATCTAGGGACTTTGGGAGAGAAGGTTCGCTAGGATTGCGGCAGCTGACACAAACTCGTAACGCAGTGGTGGTTGGTTGTTAGCTACGATGAAATATGTTCTAGGCTGTCTTATTCATTGATATTTTGTCCATGATGCGTGTGTGCACCAAATCTATCACACAAGTTATCTTGCCTTCAAAATTTTGTGTCAGTGCTCCTTCAAGCTACATACAGGCAGTGGCGCCAGCTGGGGGCGGGGGGAGGTCGCAAAAGGGCACATAGCACCCTCTCCTTCCTTAAAATTTTCCCCCTGTGGCATGACACAACACAAATATACTCGACCACATCTGCCCGCCCAGCTCCCACTTCTAATCAAGGTGGTGCCCCCACCCATTCCCCTCGGAAAATATTTCTGCCCAACTGAAGGCAGTTTGGAGAAGGGTTGGTCCGGAGGGCCCAACAACTGGCGGAACGTCACCGCGTTCCTGCTCCGGCCGACTGAGGTAACTGTCGGAGCTAACACGGGAAAGATCCAGCCCTGACAGCGTTCAGTTTTCGAACGAATTTTTTTTTATTATCGCGCTGCACCCGCCGCGCGGCCCAAATGCCAACTTCTTCCTTGACGAGCGGCGCATTGAGGCGCTACAGGGCACCCCCCCCCCCGTAGAGCGAGAGCCGTAGGAATCACCAGAGGAGTCGCCCTGTGGACATGCTTGGATGTTGGCATCCAGACTAAGATTGAAACCCCGCGGCCGCGAGAGTGGCGATATACGCAGGTTTCAGTCGATCAGCAGCCACGACGTCTTCACGGCCATTGATGTCCAGCTTGAACGTCTTAGGTGTACGATGGAGTACGCGGAATGGGCCATCATAGGCTGGTGTTAGTGGTGGCCGTATTTGGTCACGCTGAACGAAGACGTGACTGCAGTCATGCAGATCCTGACTGACGAAGACAGACTGGGGGTGTCGGTCGGCAGGAATCACAGGAGCGACGTCCCGAAACGTGGTGCGCAGCTCTCGAATGTACGTGGAGGCATTGTGAGTGGAAGGTGGCGATGATGGCTCGAAGAATTCTCCTGGAAGACGCAGGGAAACGCCATAGAATAGTTCGGCGGATGAGCAGCCGAGATCCACTTTAAATGCTGATCGAATGCCCAGAAGTACGAAGGGGAGGTGGTCGAGCCAACGTTCCCTTGGCTGGTGAGCAGTGAGGGCAGCTTTCAGTGGTCGATGAAGCCGTTCGATTATGCCATTGGCGGAAGGATGGTAGGCAGTTGTGTGGATGTGTCGAATGCCCAGGATATTGGCAAGTGCGGTGAAAAGGGCGGATTGAAACAGACGACCGCGATCAGTGGTGACGACAGAAGGGCATCCAAAGCACGACACCCAGCCGTTTGTGAAAGCCTTGGCAACTGTTGGTGCTGTAATGTCGGAAACAGGAAACGCTTCCGGCCATCTGGTGAAGCGATCCATACATGTCAGCAGGTAACAGGCTCCTTGCGATGACGGAAGAGGACCGACGATGTCGAGATGGACGTGAGAAAACCTTGCGTCTGGAGGCCGAAATGGGGATGTTGCCGTGGCAGTGTGACGGTGAACTTTAACGCGCTGGCACTCAAGGCAGGTTCGCGCCCAGCGTCGGACATCAGCATTGATGCTTGGCCAAAGGAAACGAGATGTGACTAGCTTCTGGGTCGCACGAATACCAGGATGGCTCATGCTGTGCAATTGATCAAAAATTGCACCACGAAAAGCTGAAGGCACGAAGGGCCGAGGGACACCAGTAGACGTTTCGCACGTTATTAATGAGGTAGAAAATGGAATGGGCACTCCGTGAACGATAGAGACGTGGATGAAGAGCGAAGACGATGCAGCTCAGTATCGTTGCTTTGGGCAGCTGCTAGCTCTTCCATGTCTAGTGGTGGCTGGGTCGACAAGGCATCAATGCGGGATAGGGCATCAGCAGCAGCATTTTCCGGCCCATGTACGTGTCTGAGATCCACTGTGAACTCGGAAATAAAGTATAGTTGACGGATCTCCCGTGCAGTATAATTGCTGTGATTGTGATGGAAGGCAAACGTCAGGGGCTTGTGGTCTGTAACGACGTAAAAGTCCCGGCCCTCCAATAAATGACGAAAATGTTTGATAGCGAGGTATACCGCGAGGAGTTCTCGTGCAAATGTACTGTATTTTGCCTCTGGTGGCTTCAGTTTTTGCGAGAAAAACCCAAAGGGCTGCCAACCGAATACGTGCTGCTCGAGAACGGCGCCAACTGCCACGCTTGATGCATCGGTGATGAGACGAATTGGGGCATCAGGGACGGGATGTACGAGCATGGTAGCGTCTGCCAGAGCCTTCTTGGCAGTGCCGAAGGCAGATGCAGCGTCCTTGGGCCACTCCAGTGGCGCAGCCGGGTCTTTCTATTTAGCCAATAGGTCGGTCAAGGGCTTTAGGAATGTGGCGCACTTTGGAAGAAAGCGGCGATGGAAGTTTAGTAGGCCCAGAAACTCTCGGAGTCTCTTCAGTGAAGTCGGGGGTGGAAAGTCTTGAATAGCGTTCACTTTGCTGGCGAGTGGTTGGATACCCTTTGGAGTGACAAGGTGGCCTAGGAACTCTACTGTAGCGACGCCGAAGAGGCACTTATTGGAATTAATTACGAGGCCGTAATCATCCAGGCGATGGAACAGGGTGCGCAGGTGGGCTTCATGCTCAGGGCTGGATGAGCTTGCTACAAGGAGGTCATCAAGGTAGGCAAATACGAAATCGAGACCTCACGTGACCTCGTTGATAGTGCGCTGAAAGGTCTGTGCAGAGTTGCGCAATCCAAAAGGCATCCTCACATATTCAAACAGACCGAATGGGGTGGTGATGGCCGTCTTCGGAATGTCGGCGGGTTCTACAGGAATCTGATGGTAAGCCTTCACTAAGTCAATCTTAGAGAAGATTGTGCACCCAGCCAAATTTGATGTGAAATCCTGTATGTGAGGAAGTTGATAGCGGTCTGGTGAGGTGTGGGCATTGAAAGCGCGGTAATCCCCACATGGTCTCCAGTCGCCAGGACCTTTCTTCGGCACCATGTGGAGTGGCGACGCCCAGTTGCTGGAGGAAAGCCGCACAATGCCGAGTTCAAGCATGTGCTCAAACTCACGGCGGGCGATGGCGAGGCGTTCTCCAGATAGTCGACAGGGTCGTGTAAAAACGGGAGGTCCAGTGGTCACAATGTGGTGAGTGATGGAATGCTTCACCGGTGACTCTCTGGTGTGCGGCTTCGTGATGCTGGGAAAGTCGTCGAGTATTTTTGCATATGGCGAAGCAGGTGTGAGAGCTCGCAGTCCCGTTGGCGAGGAAGTACAGAGTACACCGTTGATGGAGAGGCGGGTGTGGAGATCAATGAGGCGATGAGCATGCATCCACAGCAAGGTTGAAAAAACTGAGGAAGTCAACTCCAAGAACAACTCGCGAGACGTCAGCGAGGATGCAAATCCAGCGGAACGTACGGCGTAGTCCAAGGTCAAGTGTAAGAGAGCGTTGGCTGTATGTGCGAATGGCGGAATTGTTGATCGCTTGGAGTGGGCAGGTCTGTTCGTTGCGACGGCGATCTGCACACGAGGCCGGGATGACGCTAACCTGGGCTCCTGTGTCGACTAGGAAGCAAGCGCCAGTGATCTTATCAGAAACATAGAAAAGGCGGCATGACTTTCTAGCAGTACCACTTGCCGCCGTCAGTGGCCGGTCGTCGCATTTCCCGACCAGGAGCACGGGCGAGTGCACTTGCGAGCAGAGGCACCGAATCGGCGGTGGTACCAGCACACGGTTGAGGATGAAACGTTCCGCGGCGCGTCGGGTGGCTGAAGTTCCGGAGAACGTGGGGGCGTCGAGGAGCGACTGTGTATCTGGAACCTGGATGACGGTCGACGATGCGCAGGTACAAAGTCATCGAGGCGCCTGACAAGGGCGTCCAAACGGTTGTCGATGCTCGCGAGCGCTGGGTCTGCAGCGGTGGCCGGTGGCGGTGAGGTAACGGCGTTGAGGCTATGTGCCCGCGAGTAGTCCGCCACTCGGTCAGCCATTTCAGCGAGTGTGTCTACTGGGACATCTCCTGCAGCTACGAGGACCAGGACCATGCTCTGCGGTAAGCGCTGGAGGAACAACTCACGTAACAGCTTCTCCTCTTGAGGGGCGGAGGGGCCGCCAAGGAGCTGGCGCATGCATCGCAGGAGCTGTGATGGGCGACGGTCACCGAGCTCTGTAGCCGTGATGAGCTGTTGGAGTCTGCTGTGTTTGGACT